TGATCTCTACTCTCCTTCTGAAAGATGGGACTTACCTTGTAATTTTGTTTATGGGCTTTTTCCCTTCCAAAGAAGGTAGACATTTGGCAGTCCCTTTTATGACTAAAATCCTTAGGGAGTAGAATACATCTTTGAAACAGGAAAGGGAGTAAAGGTGTATCTACCCCATTCCTGGTCATTCTAAACTAAAAGACCACTGACACATCACACCCCAACCAGATCACACACACACACACACACACACACACACACACTCTGGACCTCACAGTATTGGCTGCTTCCTGATTCCCCTTTTTGGATCTAATTGCCTCTGGCCAAAACTCCTTGTACTAGCCTCTCAATCCACCCTGCCAGGACACCACCCCCCAGCCATGCCCTACCCCTACAAAGGTTAGGGTGAGGGAATAATCCTCAAGGCACACACATACACTTTACACAAGCTTAACATCTGGCAGGTTTCATACTCCCCTCTATCTCATGCCATAGAGAAATCAGGATCCTAGCACAAAATATACTGTAATTTTAACTACCTATTTCTTAGCCTGACTTGTACCTCAAGTCTACACAGCAATGGGTCACTGGCATAGCAAATCCCCAACTTTCTTTACCAACTACAGTCTAGCTCAAAGCAGAAGTCGCCACCCACTTCTGACTTGTTAGTGTTTGGAGCAGTAACTGTATGACACAGCTGGACTGACCAAATATGTCAACTGCCAGGTGACTCTGAATGGTTCCCTTCCTGCTCTGAATTAGAAAACTCACTCAAACCATAGGGGTATCAGGTCTGGGACAAATTATGCCATTCCTCCAAGAGGGACCCAATTTCTGAGCCTCGTCAGGACTCTAAAGTCGAGGCACAGAAATGTTGTCAGCAAGATCCTGAGAGTCAGCAAAAGCTGCCACAAACGAGCTCTTTCCTCACAGGTAAGTGCTTTCCTGTTGCTAAGCATCCCACTAGTTGAAAGCAACAGACCTCTTAAATGAAAAGTTGAGAGGATTGCTACTTTACACAAACCCAGAGGGAAAAAAATCCACATGGATGAAAGAGGAGGCAATTGATCAAATACAAAGATCTAGACTGAACCGTGGTGTCTGGTTCCAATGCTAAGGTGGAGATATAGAGAAACAAAGCAGCAACCACAGGAATGACAGATCACTGTAAAAACAAGAATCAATGTGCCACGGTTTACTCCCAGTAACATGAACACTCAACTTCTGACATAATGAGGTGGCATGCTGGTTTGCAACTAAAAAGACCATCCCCAGGGAAGGATGGAGGCAGAGGCTGTTCTGGGGGCTGAAGGAAATACTACCGAGCCTGAAGACGGGACTCAACTGATCTCACTCATTCACTAACTTGGGCCAAGAGTCAACTTCTCAGAGGTTTACTTATCTGTAGAATGGGAATGGAAATAGAATAGCCATTGCAATAGAAGGCATGTGGACCTTTAAGCAAACCTACATCTGAATAGCGTCACTTAATGAGTAACACTGAGTTAAACTCCCTGTAGTAAAATAACATTGAACCTCAGAGGCTGTTGCAAAACTTGAGTAAAGTGCTCATTACAGTACCAGACATAAGGAGTGTCTAATAACTAAAAATTTCTATTAAGACTGTTTTAATACTACCAAACATGATGCTGAGCACTTTTCTTGCTTTATCTAGTCATACTTGATTTGTCTACCCTGCAGGATTTGTATAAACATGTTACCATTTGTAACTATGAGCATGGGATACTAGTGATTATCTCTTGGGAGGAGAAATATGATTTCTTCTTTTTGCTTATCTTTTTCCAAAATTTCTACAAACATCATTTATTGAGGCATATTTCTATTTTTTTAATGCCAAAATACAGTAAAACACACTGAGGATCAAGATATTGCTCACAGGTAATCTCCTATAGGAGCCATTTCTTTTGGAGGTAAGAGCTAACAAAAGTTCTGTTTTCCTTGAGGAACTGGCATGTGCTTTGCTTTTTAAGAATTGACTGGTTTATCCCTTCTTCACTTTGCCACCAGGGGGCACAGCCTCAGGCCCTCATTCTTTGCATATTTATATTTTAATTTCCCCAGTCTTGACATTCTATTCTAATCTATATGTCTTATCCTGATTTGGGATTTACTTATATTTTATTACTTTTCTCAATGTTTATCATAAATTTATTTTCTACAAATCCTTGTACATTTAGACCAGTTATACATACACATAAACTGAAGACTCTAAGGATTGCTATTGCCATACACATCATGCTAGGTCCCTGCATTTCCAGAGTTCTTGGTTAGGACATAAAATGATAGAAATACAACCTGTAAATTCAATCTGAGATTTTTTTTTAAATGCAAAACTACATCTCCCTGTAATAATATAAAAAAAAAAAAAGCAAAAATACCATAACTTTTCAAGTCTTAGAAGTCCCATAATTAAATTCAGTTTTATTAAATGCTCAATTCTCAAAAGTATGTACATTTCTTTATTATAAAAAATCTCCATCCCCATCTCACCCTCCCTCACTCACTCACTCCCCCAAAGTAGGTATTGTCCACACAGAAGCAAACACAACAAAGTCTACCATACATCTAAAAGCAGGGAAGACAGGAGGTCCCCAGAGGACAAGATATGCTGGTGTTATCATGCAGAGCCCTCCTGCAGGGCGGAAAGAATGGGAAGAGCTCATAATACAAGAAGGGAACTGGAATAGGCAGACTGACAAAGACGTATATAATTTATACCAATTTACAAATACTTGAGGTGCCCACCAACTCCAAGAGAACAGACCAAACTAACACACAAAGGAAGGCCTCTGCCAGTGCCTCCTCTCCCTACATCAGGTCCCCCTATCAGGAGTCATTAGGAAGCCCAAACAGCTTCACAGTTCCTGCTTCCCGACTGCTGTCATATTTGCCATCTTTGTCATCACAGGCAAATGCCAGCAGAGGCCTTTTGGGGTGCCAAGCCACGGTGAAGGTCGGGGACTCACACTGCACCTCCCATAGCTTGTCTCCTATAAAAATCAATATAGAGAAACCAATAAATATGTTAATAATAAGAAACCACATTCATGAAGTACTTGCCTACATTAACTCACTTAATCCCCTTATTAACCCTATAGGATAGATACAGTCATCACCCCATTTTACAGAGAACACTGAGGCACAAAGAGGGCACAAGTCAGTAGGTGGCAGAGCAAGATCTGAATGCAGAGGCTGTGCTCTGAACGTACTCTGTCTCCCTAGGAAAACAGTAGTAGCAGCTACCATTTGTTGAGCACCCCTTAGGAATCAGATGAATTCTATTTTATTTTAATAAAGCACAATGACATCCCAGCAAGATAGGTAACGTTTTAAACCCCATTTTATAAAGGAACAAGTGACTTAACAGTTAAGTCATACCTCAAGGAAGCAGCAGTCAGCACATGAAGTCTGTTTTCAAAGCTACAGATCTTTCTGCTAAATCACAATGTCTTGCAAATAGATAGATTTCTTTTTCCAAAAACGTTATTTTTCCTACTTATTGAAATTAAACAGGATTTTTCTAAAGCCATTATCCCTTTAGTCCTGCTTTACTTTTCTTCAACCTTAGGATTAAGATTAATGTAGTAAAGCATTAGCGATGTGGTGTTAAAGATGCAGAATGCATTAAATTATATACCTGAAATTGGTCAACTATATGATAAATTATATTTCTATAAAGCTCTTTAAATATATATATATATTTATATACATATGCAAATACATATGTGTATAGGGAGAGTAAGAGAGATTCTTTTTTTTAAGTAATCTTATTTCAGGGACAATTAACCACTCTTCATGATGCTAGGATCTGGCAGTCCAGCTAGACGTCTGAGCAAATTTCTGTATTATACAAATACCAAGAATAGTTTCAGAGGCTGCTACTCCCCTTTTACTTCTCTTTAGGCCTTTAACTCGAAGTCATTTGTCAAATTCACTTGGGATTGGTTAAGATAAAGAAATTTATGCAGTTCAAGAAAACCAGGGTAGATATGAAGAGGACTTCTAAAATGTTTCCTAAATAAACATCTTGACAGTTTTACTGGAAAGCTTAATCTCTGAATGATAAAGAAGGTGCTATCTGGGTGGGACTGACATTACCACTCCAGACCACCAAAGTTCCAAAAGACTTGGTGTAATACGTATGATGTGTCTAAAAGTTGAAAATAAGTGGACTTTTAAAAACGTATGCTATCAGAAATAAAATTCTTACTTTGTTTTACATTTAAACATAAAAATATGTAAGATATAAAATCTTACTAAACATGATTCCAAATATAGTGTATACACACACACACACACATAGATGTCTATATATAAAATATCTATATAGCGATATAGATATCTATACATGAAAAGATTGGAAGGAAATATACCAATATGTTAGGAACAGCTATCTCCAAATTATAGGCCTATATGTGACTGTTAGTTTCTTCTTTATATTTGTTACCATTTTCTAAATATTCTACAATGAACATGTATTACTCTTATTTTACAAACTAATATACAAAGACATGCTTACTGCATAAAATTCAAACAGTACAAGGGTACAGAGCAGCACTGGGCAACAGAAACTTCTATGGTGGAGACATTCTACATCTGTGCCATCCATATAGAAACCACTAGCTACATATGGCTACTAAAGTCCTTAAAATGAGCCTAGGGTGACTGAAGAACAGAACTTCTCATTTTATTTAACTGATTTCATAATAATAATTACATTATAATTTAAATTAAAATTTATCTTTTTGGGGGACACCTGGGTGGCTCAGTCGGCTGAGTGTCTGACTTCGGTTCAGGTCATTATCTCACAGTTTGTGAGTTCAAGCCCCACGTCAGGCTCGGTGCTGAAAGCTCAGAGCCTGGAGCCTGCTTCGGATTTTGTGTCTCCCTCTCTCTGCCCTTCCCCTGCTCACGCTCTGTCTCTCCCTCTCTCTCTCAAAAATAAATAAACATAAAAAAAATTTTTTTTTAATTTATCCTTTTTCCCTACTGCAGTCTTCTCCCAATCTTCTAAGTCTGAAATAAATTCTTTCTTTCTTTTTTAATATATTTTTTCAAACATTTATTCAGTTTTGAGAGATAGAAAGAGAGAGCATGAGCAGGGGAGGGGCAGAGAAAGAGGGAGACACAGAATCCAAAGCACGCTCCAGGCTCTGAGCTGTCAGCTGATGCCAAAGAGTCCGATGTGGGGCTCAAACTCACGGACCATGAGATCATGACCTGAGCCGAAGTCAGACGCTTAACCAACTGAGCCATTCAGGTGTCCCTGAAATAAATTCTTTCAAAAGTCTTTCTGCCAACTTAGCTTTAGCTTCTTCACCTAAATGGGAACACATCACATGCACTGATTGGCTATTTGTTTTGCTCATTCAGTAAAATGCCTTGCCAATCTTCCATTTCGGCACATACAGAGCTATGTTTTTTCTCTTGGCACACTGTAATACGGATGCATCACAATTTATTTAATTAGCTCATCATAATGAAAATTTGACTATTTCCCATTTGTGCATAAAACAACTCTGTAAATATAATTGTGCTTCCCTTTGATAATCATGTGACTTTTAGTTTTTAGCCTCAGTTATAAAGAAAATTTTTAAAAAACTTGTTAAAAGTATTTGAACTATTTACAAAAATTAATACAGCCATATTTGATATAGTTCTGAAGATTGTATGTGAACTAAATCACATTTTATATGTATTAGGTGAGGCAGACAATTAAACTTGCACAAAGATGGCATGGGAAAAATAGCACACACTTGCACTGTTTTAAGAGCAAACACTACAATAACCTTTCAGTAAGTGGTTTAGTCCTTTACAAAATGTGAGCACTTTGGACTCAGTCAAACATTCACTTCAATAGTTTACCCAAAAGGATGACCGCATTAGTAAAATGAAGTGCATAAGGATATTTCTCACAGCATTATTTATAATGGTGCAGATGAGAAACCACCAAATAGATGGGCAACTAAAGTATCTACAGGCATATATATGTATATACTGGCAGTTTAAGTATATACTGATATAATTCCATGGAATTCTAAACTGCATGAAAAGTGGCAGTAGAGGGGCACCTGGGTGGCTCAGTCAGTTAAGCATCGAACTTCGGCTCAGGTCATGATCTCGCAGTTCGTGAGTTCGAGCCCCGCATGGGGCTCTGCACTGACAGCTCAGAGCCTGGAGCCTGCTTTGGATTCTGTGTCTCCCTCTCTCTCTGTCCCTCCCCCGCTCACACTCTGTCTCTCTCTCAAAAATAAATAAACATTAAAAAAAAAAAAGTGGCAGTAGAGCTCAACAGCCACGGCCATGTAAGAAGCTATAACATCCTCAAGTGGGGCAGCCACATCCTGGAGCAGGAGAGTATCCATGCATCACATTAACAAGGGTGACAAAGGAGCTGCATGTCCGAATGGCTGGACAATACTCAACACAGTGTCATCAACAGAAGCATTGTTAAATTGTGGAATCTCAACTTTTTTATTTTATTGTTTGATGTTTTCTACACAGTTTCAATTCTTTTACTAAAGTATCATGTATTTCCAAAAACAATAGAGCTACATTACAAAATAAATCTGAGGGTAATGACAGAAGATGACAGAGTAGGAGGATCCTGAGCTCACCTCCTCTCAGAGACACACTGAGACAACAAGTATGTCTATCATAACTAACTGAAAATGACCTGAAGACCAGCAGAAGAGATCTTCCACAGCTGAATATAGAGAGAAGGCCACACTGAAAGGGTAGAAAAGGTGGAGACGTGAGTCAGGAACCAAACCCCTGGTGCAAATAACGACAAACGGGAGGGACATCACAAGCATGGAGTGAGGGAATCAGATCCCAAACAGGGCAAGCCTAGCCCTAAGGACCTACACTGAGAAGACGAGTTCCCATAATGTCTGGCTTTGAAGATCAGCAAGGCTTAACTTTGGGAGCTTTAGAAATCAGCGGGGCTTAACTACAGGAGAACTAGAGGGCAGAAGAGTCACCACACTAAGTTTCTCAGTCGGAGACAGCACAGAAGCAGCAACTTGAAAAGCACCTAGGGTATACATGAAGGATATTTATCGACTAATTTTAGGATGTGTACCAGAAGGGCAGAGATCTGCAGGAGCTTTCTCCAGGAATAAAAAGTGCTGGCAGGTGCCATTTTTCTTGGCTTCCCTGAGCCTAGCTCTAGCTGGACGCTTGCAGAAACCAGTTCTAACTCTCTCCATCTTCCTCACTAGCAACACATGCCCCGCCCCAGCATTCTCCTACTACCCACCCTACCCAACCCACTGGCCTCCGCAGGCACCCCTCCAACACAGCTCCTGCCCTGCCACACCCAGCAAGCAGCCCCAGATGGGACGCCTCCAAAGTGACACCTCCCCTAGAGGACAGGGGAGATACCCTACACAGCAGCTTGCCCACAGTTCCTACAGCCAGGCCTCTTAGCTGGCTGCACAAAGAATTAGCCCTGCCCTTCCATGTACCTGCAGCTGTTCACAGAGGCTAATTACAGGCAGCTAGGCTGAGTGCCAACGCCCCCCACAACTGAGCCCATGGCAGCTGCAGCCAGGCCTCTCAACAACATGGGCAGCAAACCCTGCCCAGTGCGCATGCAGCAGGCAAAGCGGGTTACTGCAGCCAGCTGGGCTGAAGGCCAACCCCACCCATCAGCATGCCCATAGCAATCACAGCTCAGCCACAACAGGAGGGTGCACACAGCCCATACGGGGGCACCCCTGGTGCACCTGGTTCCAGTGACCAGGGTGGATAGCACTACAGGGCACCACAGGACCTCTTCTACATAAAGCCACTACTTTCAAGGTCAGGGGATGTAGCTGACCTACCTAACACATAGAAACAAACACGGACAGTTAGATAAAATGAGGAGACAAGGGATATGTCCCAAATGAAAAAATAAGACAAAACACAGAGAAAGGACTAAACAAAACAGAGATGAGCAATATGCGTGATGAAGAGTTCAGAGTAATAGTCATAAAGATACTCAACTGGACTTGAGAAAAGAGTGGATGAACTCAGTGAGAATTTCAACAAACAGACAGAAAATGTAAAAAAGAACCAGTCAGAGATGAAGAATACGGTAACTGAAATGAAAAATACACTAGAGAAAATCAAGAACAGATTAGGGGATGCAGAACAGACCAGAGATCTTAAAGACAAGGTAACAGAAAACAATCAAAACTAACAGCAAAAAGACAAAAGAATAATAAAAGTGAGAATAGGTGAAGGGACCTCTGCAAAATTATCAAGCATAATTAACATTCCCATTATAAGGATTTCAGAAAGAGAAGAGAGAAGAAAGGGGGAAAAATAATACCTGAAAACTTCCTGAATCTGGGGATGGAAACAGATATCCAAATCCAGGAAGCAAAGAGAGCTCCAAACAAGATGAACCCAAAAAGGTTCACACCAAGACATAATGATTAAAATGGCAAAAATTAAAGATAAAGGGAGAATCTTAAAAGCAGCAAAAGAAAAGCAAACAGTCACATACAAGGGAAAACCCATAAGTCTTATCAGCTGATCTTTCAGCAAAAACTTTGCAGTATGGAGGTTCCTCAAGAAATTAAAAACAGAAATACCATATGATCCACTAATTCCACTACTGGATATTTACCCAAAGAAAACAAAAACACCAACTGGAAAGGATACATGCACCCCTACATTTACTGCAGCATTATTTACAACAGTGAAGATACGGAAACAGCCCAAGTGTCCATGGATAGAAGAATGGATGAAGAAGATGTGGTATATATATACACAGTGGAATATTAATCAGTCATGAAAAAAGAATGAGATCTTGCCATTTGCAAGAACATGGGTGGACCTATGGGGTATTAAGCTAAGTGAAATAAGTCAGACAGAGACAGACAAATACCATATGATTTAACTTATACACGAAATCTAAAAAAAAAAAAAAAAAAAAAAAAAAAAAAGGAAACAAGTAAATAAACAAACAATAGAAAACAGACTCATAAATACAGAAAATAAACTGGTGGTTGCCAGAGGGGAATGGGTTAGGGTAATGGGTGAAATAGGTGAAGTGATTAAGAGGCACAAACTTCCAGGAACAAAAAAAGTAAGTCATGAAGATGTAAAGTACAGCAAGGGAAACACAGTCAACATTGTAATAATGTTGTATGTTGACTACATTTACTGCAGTCAATGACTGTAGTCAATTTACTACATTATACTGCAGTATAATGCATATAACTGTCAAATCACTGTCTTATATAAAATTAATATAACATTATATGTCAACTATCCCTCAATAACGAAAAAAATTTTCAATTAAAAATAAGTAAACATGAGGAAATTCTTCTGTAAAATGGATACTCTTCTCCCATTTTTCTATTTTCAAATTCTGTTGGTTGTTTTTTTTTGTTTGTTTTTTTTTTAATTTTTTTTTTTTTAACGTTTATTTATTTTTTTGGGACAGAGAGAGACAGAGCATGAACGGGGGAGGGGCAGAGAGAGAGGGAGACACAGAATCAGAAACAGGCTCCAGGCTCTGAGCCATCAGCCCAGAGCCTGACGCGGGGCTCGAACTCACGGACCACGAGATCTTGACCTGGCTGAAGTCGGCCGCTTAACCGACTGCGCCACCCAGGCGCCCCCTGTTGGTTGTTTTTAAAGCAAATCACATGTATTTGATAATTCCTAAAATTATTAAAAAATATGTATTTTTTAAGTTACACACAAGCAAAATATAGAAAAAAATATACACCACAACACTTAAAGAGATTGTATTTAGATGGTGGGACCACAGGTCATACTTTTTTCTTTCTCCTATTTTCTGTATTTTAAAATTTTCATTATAATAGAAGAATTAAAAGTTAATAAAATGCAAAATATTTTCCTAAATCACTTTCTTTCAGACCTTTCTTTTAACTCTCTGCTCCCTCATGACCCGACTATAGCAGTCATAATAAACAAACCTGTCTTAAGCAGACAAATTCATTTATGCTAATACTGGTGAAGTAGTAATGTGAAGATGAAAATACAAGACAGAAGTCCTGATGGCCACAGATGACAGAGAGAAGATCATTATGGTAGTGAGGGTTTCAGTTACCTGTCTCTACTTCAGCAATGTCAATAAAATGATCTTCTGAAGCTGATGCCAGCATTTTTCCATCATGGCTAAAACTGAGGGTCCTCACAGGCCAATCCAGCCTATAACAGAGAAGACAGAGGAGACATTAGAATAACCCAATAAGAGGAGGGCACAATTTCACCCAAAATGAAGTAAAAGTAACTTATCCAGCAAGGAAAGTACTGGCAGGGCTGCTTACCTGGAAAAGCACCGAACACACACTAACTCATCCACATCCCAAAGGCTGACCAAAGCATCTGCACTTCCTGTGGCAAAGTACTTCCCCATGGGGTCAAATTTGATGCAGATGCAGTTGGAAGGATGGGCATTGATGGACTGCACAGGCTTCAGCTCTGGGTAGCTGAGAAACAAGACAGATGGCAATCAAACTATGGGAAGAGGACTATGGTACTGAGACAACAACAGGAGACGCTGAAGAAGAAAACCAAAGTAAGACAACATAACAAATATCAGACTATAATTCAAACAAACTTTTCTAAACTTTAAAAAAATAAAATTAGATTATCATCAGACCTTTCTGACAATAAGACTTTCTGCCAAAAGAAAATGGACTAACGTATTTAAGCTATACAGGGAAGAAAATATGAATCAAGGATTTTTTTTTAGTAGGCTTCATGCCTAGCATGGGGCCCAATGTGGAGCTTGAACTTATGACCCTGAGATCAAGACCTGAGCTGAGATGAAGAGTCAGACACTTAACTGAGCCACCCAAGTGCCCCAAGGATTTTTTAATTTTTTTTTAATGTTTATTTATTTTTGACAGAGAGAGAGAGACAGAGCATGAGTGGCAGAGGGGCAGAGAGAGAGGGAGACACAGAATCTGAAGCAGGCTCCAGGCCGTGAGGATTTTTATGTCTAGCAAAAGTGACTATCAATTATAAAAAGCTCAAATACTAAGCATAATATAATAAACTAGTTGTAAGTTTTATTAAGTCTATAAATTATAATAAGTATGAACTCAGGGAAAACTGTTCCCATGAACCCTGTTCCTGAGGAAGCTAAAGAATGAGCTTTAACAATCAAATGACTAGAGATTCATCAGCATAGGACTGTCAATGAGCATTACATATATAGCTTCTTGTGTATGTATTGGTGGTGGTAGTGGTAATACTGTTATTCTGAGATATCTCCACATATAACATGGATAAAAGTAATAAGTAACTGTGGGATATTCTAATTCTGTAATCCCGTGTCCTTGAGAACCTGAATACTCAGTTTGAAGGAAAGAGTTACTTATAATATAGAAGATATTTAGTAAAATTCCTCTAGTCCTGAATTTTAACTGGAACTTATCAGTATGAATTCACAAGATATTTTATCTTTAAAAATACACACAGAGGCACCTGGGTGGCTCAGTCTGGGGCTTCTGACTTCAGCTCAGGTCATGATCTCACAGTTCGTGAGTTCGGGCCCCGTGTTGGGACTCCGTGCTGACAGCCCCGAGCCTCGAGCCTGCTTCAGATTCTGTGTCTCCTCTCTCTCTGCCCCTCCCCAGCTCTCACTTTGTCTCTCTCTCTCTCTCTCTCTCAAAAATAAACATTAAAAAAATTTAATAAAAAAACAAATACATACATACACATATGCTTCCTTGCTCTATCCACTGGAAAGGTCTAGAAATAATAATCAACGTATCAATATGGACATCGGTAGCTCCGATGTTATTTCTCAGAAAAAGAATCCAGGGATTGATTCTTAGAGAATTTTCTGATTAAAGGTCTGAGGCAGGAAGCATACAAGATGAACTTGGAATACTCATTATACCAGAGAGCAAGAAACTGAAGACTACTAACACTGTCAAAAAAATGACTCAGGAATCAACTTGAAGAGGCTCCCATTGGCTAAAGATGGGATAATTTGAGCTTCCATAAGGATAATTATTCCAATAGATTGAAACACATCTACCATGCTTAAATACATGAGTTTATAATGAGTCTTAAAACTAGCTGATTATCTTTGTAAGTGAGAGAGAACTAATTCATTATCTGATGACAAGAAGCATTTATCCTGTCTTTTCTAAGTAAACTATATATTTTTTTAAGTTTATTTTTATTTATTATTTTGAAAGAGAGAGACAGAATGTGCATGCACAAGCAAGCACAAGCGTAAGAGGGACAAAGAGAGAGGGAGACAGAATCCCAAGCAGGCTCCCCACCCAGCACAGAGCCTTGACGTGGGGCTCCATCTCACAACCATGAGATCATGACCTGAGCCCAAACCAAGAGTGGGACAGTTAACCAACTGAGCCACCCAGGTGCCCCAAAGTAAACAATATTCTTAAGTAACCAAATAGTAGGGGCACCTGGGTGGCTCAGTCAGTTAAGCATCCAACTTTGGCTCAAGTCATGTTTTCACGTTTTGTGAGTTCAAGTCCTGAGTGGGGCTCTGTGCAGACAGCTTGGAGCCTGGAGCCTGCTTTAGATTCTGTGTCTCCCTCTCCCTCTACCCCTCCCCTACTCGCACTCTCTCTTTCAAAAATAAATAAACATTAAAAAAAAAATTAAATTCCAAAACTAGACAGAGACCCCACTAAAAAGGAAAACTATAGACTGATTTCCCTGATGAACATGGATGTAAAAATCCTCAACAAGATATTAGCCAACCGGATCCAAGAATACATTAAAAAAATTATTCACCATGACCAAGTGGGATTTATACCTGGGATGCAGGGCTGGTTCAATATCTGCAAAACAATTAACGTGATTCATTACATCAATAAAAGAAAGGACAAGAATCATATGATCCTCTCAATAGATGCAGAGAAAATATTTGACAAAATACAGCATCCTTTCTTGATAAAAACCCTCAAGAAAGTAGGGATAGAAGGATCATACCTCAAGAACATAAAAGCCAAATATGAAAGACCCAGCACTCATATCATCCTCAATGGGGAAAACTGAGAGCTTTCGCCCTAAGGTCAGGAACAAGACAGGGGTGTTCACTCTCACCACTGTTATTCAACATAGTATTGGAAGTCTTAGCCTCAGCAATCAGACAACACAAAGAAATAAAAGGCATCCAAGTCAGCCAGGAGGAGGTCAAACTTTCACTCTTCGCAGATTAACATGATACTCTATATGGAGAACCCTAAAGATTCCACCAAAAAACTGCTAGAACGGATTCATGAATTCAGCAAAGTTGCAGGATATAAAATCGACACACAGAAATCAGTTGCATTCCTATACACCAACAATGAAGCAGCAGAAAGAGAAACCAAGGAATCGATCCCATTTACAAGTGCACCAAAACCATAAAATACCTAGGAATAAATCTAACCAAAGAGGTGAAAAATCTAGACACTGGAAACTAGAGAAAGCTTATGAAAAAAATTGAGGATGACACACAAAAAAGAAAAAGATTCTATGCTCCTGGATAGGAAGAACAAATATTGTTAAAATGTTGATACTACCCAAAGCAATCTACATATTCAATGCAATCCCTATCAAAATAACACCAGCATTCTTCACAGAGCCAGAACAAATAATCCTAAAATTTGTATGGAACCAGTAAAGACCCCAAATCACCAAAGCTTTTCTTCTTGAAAAAGAAAACCAAAGAAGGAGGCATCACAATCCCGGACTTCAAGCTATACTACAAAGCTGTAATCATCAAGACAGTATGGTACTGGCACAAGAACAGACACTCTGATCAGTGGAACAGAACAGAGAACCCAGAAATGGACCCACAAACGTATGGCCAACGAATCTTTGACAAAGCAGGAAAGAATATCCAATGGAATAAGGACAGTCTCTTCAGCAAGTGGTGCTGGGAAAACCGGA